CTTTATGTATCTGTGTGTTTGTGTATCTCTGATTGCCCCCTCCCCTTCACTCTGCTGTGTCTCCCTCTCTCTCCCTCCCCATCCCTCTCTGCGTGTGTCTCTCTCAGCCTCTGTGTGTGTATCTGCCTCTCTCGGACAGCTTGCCCACCCCCACTCTCGCCCGGGAGTAGACCATCCACTGAGAACAGCTCACACACGGAGTCCCTATATCTCAATGGTATTAAGCAGCAGACAGTTCATAAGAGTCTATCTTTTAGTCAGTAGTCTCTTCTGCAGCATAAAGTCACCCATCAAGTTAAAGAAAAACCATTCTGCAGTTCATTCAACATTTAAAGCCCTTAGAACCACTTACCACAGACCACAGAGCCGACTCTGACCTGGAAACTTGAGTGAGTCAGCCTGCTGCTGTGCCCCGACAGGGGTGCCCAGAGCTTTTGACGCACCCCTCAGGGGGACTCTAGCCCCAAGCTTTTGCTTTGCGCCTGAGTGCATTAAGCATATGTACCACCCAGGGACTCTCACTTACTGATCTGCAAACCACAAGGTAGGTGGTTCAAACCCACCAGCTGCTCTGCAGGAAAATGATGAGGCTTTCTATTCCTGTAAGAACTCAAAGGCTCAGAAACCACTGGGGGCAGTTCTACTCTGCCCTCTAGCATCTCCATAGAGTCAGCGTGGACTCGAAGGGAGGAGTTTGGTTTTGGCTGGGAGTACTAGGTCCTGCCAAGGCAGCCAAAGGGCTGCAAGAGTGGAGAGACAGAGAGATGGATGAGTAAGCGGGTAGATAGATAGATGAATCCATGAATCAGTGGATGGTTCATGGATGAATGCTGGAGAGGATCAGATAGGAGGTAGGAAGATGGCTATGGGTGATGGATGGATGGGAGAAGGAAGGATGGATGGATACATGAAATGGGAGATAGGATGGATGCATGGTAGATGGAAATGATGAAACTGTGAGCAGACTGATGGCGGGATGGTGGGAGAATGGGTGGTTAGGCTGTTGTTAGATGGATCTAAGATGATAGGCTGGATGGGTGGATGGATAAAGGGATGCATGGTGAAGGACAGTAGCCGGACGGACAGCTAGATGGATGGATGGCAGATGGGTGGTAGATAAAAGGATGGATGCACAGAGTTGGAGGGGAGGAGGAGTGATGGAAAGATATATAGATGGATGGATGGATGATTGAAGGACAGGTGGACAGCAGATGTTGAATGGTTAGATGATAGGAAATGGAGGGATGATATAATAGATGACTGGGCGGAGAGCTGTATAGACAATGGGTGAGTGGACAGACGGATGGGTGGATGGATGGATGATAAATAGACAGATGGAAGATGTCAAGCATGAGCACACATCAGTGTAAACAGACAGGTCAGCAGTAGTGGGTGCTGCAATGGGAAGTCTGGGAGCCCCGAGAGCCAGTTCCTGGGTGTAAGCCTGAAAGGACACAATGATCTTGTTGATTTCCCTCCACCCGTCGACGATAAGCTCACTGAGAAGCACCATCTCGTGCGATCCCCTGATGCGTAGGGTGTGTTCAGACAGTGGAGCCTGGTTCCACCTGGATGTGTGTGGATGCTGTTAACTCATGGATGGACAGACAGGGGTGTCGGGGAGAAGGGGGAGGGAGGGAGGCAAAGAGAGTGCATGTGCAGAATGAATGGGTCCCCTTCACCCCCACCCCACCCCACAGCCGTCTCCCCCTTGATCATTCTGATGCAAGTTTCAGAATCAACCACAAAGGAAAGGAAACACGATGCCAGGAGGTCCCGGCTCAGGGCCTCGCAGAACTGTCCCTGGTCGTGGGAGGTTGTAGACCTTGATG